TGTTTATCACACCACTGAATGTTGTTGTTTTATCATTTTAGAGGGCTAACATTTGTCGATTTCCAATAAAAACACACACAGTCAACTCTTACAGGGATTGTTTTATTTTGGAGGGATTTGGGATCTCTTGGTATATCTCTGATTTGGTGATGGTGCTAAAAGTAAAGGCAGCATCAGAGTTGTCACAATTCATCCATATTGGTAAAAATATTTGTATCAAACTTCAAGGCAGTTGTCCTTTTTTATTTTTTATTTTTATTTTTTAATCACGTCAGGGCCAGAAATGACAAACATAATGGCACAAGAGACAAGTCTGGGCAGTCTAATTTTAAACTAACTCATACATTCAAAATATCATTGCTTGTTTGTCTGCTTGTCTTTCATAAAGCACACAACACTCCATTCATTCATGACAGCAGCTACTAGTTCAAACAATCACTGTGCTGAATATGCTGCGACGTGCCTCTTATTGTAAAGTGGATAAAACATGTTTGACCATGTTGCTGTTTGTGTGGTGCTTCACATTCTTTTCCATAGCAACACAAACACGCTTGGGTGTTGACGTTGTATTGTTGCAGAATTAAAGTGTCTCTAGGTTTTTATAACTTACAAAATACAACACTAGACACTGTTTTAAACAGTGTTCAGGAAATGGGGACTGAAAGAAGGACCTGGTGGGTTCCCTCCTGACCAAAACACTGAGCATGATGGGACAAATGCACACGCACAAACGACCACATTCTGTCTTGTGACACTGTCTCGTCTAAGAGTAGATCCTCACACTCTGATCATGTGAACTCAAATGTGCAAATCCACGGGAAAGCCAATAACCTCACAAACGCCTCCAGTTCAATTCAACACACACACACACACACACACACACACACACACACACACACACACACACACACACACACACCAATTATAACTCTCCTAGCCTTTTTCCTTTGATTGTTAAGAGGAATCTGGTGGCTCCTGGTCTACCTGATAAACAAAGGTAATGTCTGACCAACACACACAATATCTGACTGCAGCCTGCATAATGCAAGCTCTGCATGACAGAAAATTATAGTTGTAAATCATTATAGTTGCAAAAAAAACGTCAAACACAGCATGAATATCAGTCAATCACTATACGTCTTTCCAAGTACAACTCAACTTGTCTCAAGCTACCCCTAATCTCTGGTGGTTTGTTGTAACTTCCAAGAATTCAACCAGAGTTTGTATTGTTTTGTGTGTCAAATTAGAAGATAAGAGAAATGTAAGGCATGTCAGTTCTAATAATTGGTAAGGTAAGATTCTCACAGAGCAAAAAACAAAAATATATTGTATATAAAAAACAAAAACAATGTTAGAATCCATTGTTTACGAAGTGCTGCCTTCCATCTCCCACGAGTGTTACACACACACACACACACACACACACACACACACACACACACACACACACACATTGTTATAGTCAGGTCGATACAGTCTAAAATTAAAACCTCACAGCACAGCCACTGCCTGCCTGCAACAATAATCCTCAGCATACTTAGGTAAATGGATGTTAATGTATCTATTGATGGGACATCCCTGAGCTGCCCCTCCCATTATAAAAGACAGGGGACACCACACACAAACAACCTGGCCTGTTTTTTGTGGTGACTTGTGGTTCATGAAGCAAAAAAAAAAAAAAGACCCGTGTCTTCTTGTGTAACACTGAGGAGTCTTATCTGTTTTTGCTTGCGTTTGTGTATAAGCCATACATGTCAACACAGTCAATAAACTGAACACAGCAGCAGCTGATGTAGATGCTTCTCCACTCTGACATGGTAATACAATGTCCATTCAGTCATGAGTAATAAGCCCTTAAGTCCTCTTGCCTGCACAGCATTTCTGCATCTCTGCTTGTCAATGTGCGTCACGCACACAATGTTCGACAGAAGGCACATTATGGCAACTACAATGACTCCATCTATTCGCACTACAATCCCTGCATCTGTAGAGGAGACTCCTAGGCCTGGCCTTTTGCAATGGTTCATTCTGGCAGACACACACTGTGCTCCTGCTGTTGCTGCTGGCTAGAGAGAGGCTTTGTTGGCATATACGACAAGCATATGCTGCTGGATGCGAACTTCGTTACAAAAATCATAGCCTTTACTTATTGCGCTGCTTCTGGGTCGTTATGTATTATAACCAAATTAAATACAACAGCTATTTGGATCCACGACGACCCGTTTGTTCATTCGGCGTGTGTGTGATACACCGATAAGCGTGAACTTGATTAAAATGGCAAGTTATTTGTGGTGTCCCTGTCGTGCCCGCTTTTCACTTCCGTTTAATAAACCAAGGCGGTTAGTGACAAGCGCTACCCTCGCCAATTTTTCAAGAGGATGGACTTCTACGTTAATAAAACATGTTTTTTTTTTAATCAGCCGCACGACGAACTCGGCGAAACCCGAAGGGATGTGCAGTGAAATCTTAGTCCGTGTCTTTAAAGATGTTCTTTGTAGCAAATAAGCACGAAAATAAAAAAAACAGCAGGATGCATAAGGGAATTCGGCGTGACGTTCATTCTGAAGAGGAGTTCAACGCGGCAGTAAATTACCAATCTCGATGCTTTTTTTAATTATGCTTTTTTTTATCACACCTTGAAAATACAGACTTCACTAATATACATTCATTGTTGTGTCTGTGTAATAACGTGACAGCGGTCCACTCATGGACCCTGATGCAGACGGACAGCAGGCCCTGCTGAGTGTCTGTCTGCTGCGCTGCGACGCTTCCTTCCTGCAGCCTCCTTCACAGACAATCGGCAAGATCTGAACGCAGGTTAAAACCACGTTGACTCTTAACAACACAAAGAGCGTCTGCTCGCCGTTAACCGTGGGCCTACCTTGTGTTCCAGCAGGCCTGTGTGAAAGCAGCCCGGTGCCTTTTAGGATCCGTGTTGAAGACAGTCCATTGTCCTGCTGCTTTGCTGATTCCTCCTGCAAGCGAACAGACTGAAAGCCTGCTTCCCCTCTGCTCCTCCTCTCTCCTCCTCCTCCTCCTCCTCCCCCTCCGAACAGTTTTACCTCCATCCCTCTTCTTCGTCTCTCCTCCGCACCCCTACTTTCCTGCATCTTGCGTCCTTGTTCCTCACTCTTTCTTTTCCACTTCACGTCTTCATGATTTTCATTTTTATTTCCTGTCTCCCTTTTCCCCTTCTCACTTTCTATCAACCCGTTCCTCCTCCTCTGTATAAGAAGTTGTCCCCCCCCCCCTATTGATGCACATCAAAATATTTGATCATTTTCCCGCTGTGTAATCCATTGAGAGATTATAGGATAATAGGTTTTAGGTATAGGGATTGACAATAGAGAAATTGAGCAGCAAGCGGTTGCCAACTGGTCTCATAACAAACAACCTATGAGTCACTGTTACAGCTGACTATTGCTACCTGTTTTCGGTGGCTGGCTTGACACACATGAACTGTTAGGCCCATATGAGATTCCAGCTCAGTGTAAGAAGCTTCTCACGTACAGGATAGAGATTCAGCGCCCTCTGCTGACCAAAATCAGCCACACGCAATTAACAGCTACAGCAAGAAAAGGCCTCCACTGTAGTTTGATTAATGGAGCAGGAAAAAAAAAATCCAAAAGTAAATGAAAACTGTATTTGAGAACCTGCAAGACAGGTTGAAGGAGTACATGAATAATAATTTGCGTGTGCAACTTTATATGCAAAATGTTAGACTTAAACATCATATCTCTCCCTCATTGAATCTGCAGAGTGCAGAAGATTTTTTTTAATTTTCTTTTAATGTATAGCCATTATAAAACTAGCAGATCTTGTAATGACCACACCTGTTTCTGAGGTCAATGAGTGCAAATCTGCTCTCACACATCATTTCACCACATACTGAGGAGTTGCAGTAGCGTACACTTTATAGAATGAAAATACGGCAGAGCCTTTCTTTCTATTAAAAAGAACTGAACCTGTTGTAAACATAAAGTGTCGCGGGGAATTACATCTGCTTTGACAGTTGGCACATTGATTATGTGTTAATGAAAAGTTATCTTTGAAAATGTAAATATAAATGTTAAAAGAAAAAAAAAACGCTTCTAAGCTTCTGTTGTTTTCCAGAGGTGGTATTGCAGACTGCTCAGCTCACAGCAGCAACCTTTACTACTGAGGGGTTTTAAGTTTCCTGCTCCGTACCCATGTCTCATTTCAATTTGTGATCACCTTCTTTAATATTTGATTAATGCATTTTTCCAGAGTGCTTACATATTATACTTGTTTATTTTCCATTAAACTTGATTTTTATTCTTGGTCAATTATCATCCAGAGTGGAGTTTTCGGCATGAAGCGGTGATCATGTGACATCTGAACTGTTTGGAAAGTTGTAATAGACAGATGTTGACAGCAGAGGGCGGCCGACTGATATTTATGTGTGATGGTCAGGACACTCTACACATTATTTACAATCTTGGCAATAAATCTGTGGCAAGCAACCATTAACCACCCTGGTTGATAGTATTCTCACCTTTGATTATGTAAATAGCCAACACATGAAACAAAAACACAGAAATTATTGAAATAATATATGATAGGTACAGTTCTTCCTCATGTTTAATTTACTCCTTAAATTACCAGTTTAACACAAGTCAGACTTTGGATGCTAATGTATTGGATTTTGTATAATGATTCAATAAATGATGGGGAGACTTTATTCAGGTGTGCATGAGGGCTTATGCGATACAGGAATGATATGTAATCTTTGGAGGCTGCCTATAAGCTAATGAAGTGCCTTGTTTTAAGATATGAATCACATGTGCAAGTATAGCCACATTTACTTTTTTCTTCTTTATTCAAAACCCTCTTTTGGGACACGCCAGCAAAGTCCATTACGGGGGAAACAAATACTTTCACAATAATGCATATCAAATTTAGACTTACTCCGATCATTATTTTTCAAAGATCTTAAAATGTTAAAAAAAACAAAAAAAACAATAGAGTCCACTAAAATGTAGCAGTTGAAAAAGCCTTTATTCGCTCTGAGAGGCATCCATGCACAGTCAAACACAGATGAGAGGCTGGTATGAGTATGAGGCACGAACAGAGCTGTCAGTTCTCTGGGTAGAAGTAGGCACACACAGTATAGCTGCAAAGAAACCTGATGGTGCCGCACAACATGGAGTGCTCACACAGCACTGAGACCACTGAGACCACACTTGGCTCCTCCTCATGTGCTGCTATACAGAATTCTTTCACAAGATCTGTTCCTGGAAATGAACAAGATGCTGGAATCAACTTTAAAAAAAAAAAAAAAACACCAAATTTTAAGGAGTCTACAAATCTAAGCAATAAACCTTATGTTAGAAATCTCTCACTGAAAAACATCGCTCACCGTTGTTTTAAATCTATTCATTTACCAGTCAAACCATTTGTATTATAGTAACTCAATCCCAAAAGGACAAAAGTCTCCCAACATAAGTAAACTATGAGATGATTCAGATTTCTCCTCATGTTTTGGAGGATTAAATAATCAGAACAACCAATCCAACACCGCCCTCCTCAAACCTTCCATCCCTCGTCAATTCTTTTCGAGATTCCCTCCCACCCACGCCCTGCGAGGATCAGCGCTCAGCTGCTGACAACGTGTCCCGCCCAGGTCTCATGCTTGGTTCCTGGATTGAGGTGGGTGATGGTCACCTCCACTGCCTGGATCTTCTCGTGTTTGGGTGGGATGGAGCAGACTTTGTAGCTCACCTCGTCACCTTCCACCGGCACATACTCACCCTCAATGCTGCAAGGAAGAGGAGGAGAGATAAGACATATTGATTGCTAGCGTTTTTGTTTTTTTTTTCCTTCTGCAAATTAATTGTCCGGGTGCCTCTCACGCGTTAAGCACTTCACAAAATTCTAATCTGGTTTTAGTTTTTTCTTAAATGAAATATTCAACACCTTTTCCAAGGTGCAATTGTATTTTTTTTTTTGCTCAGTTACCAGCTTTTAATTCATGAAACAGTTTATTGATATTTTTATTAAGTATGAAAATGTAAAATACCAGAAAGAAACGCAACAATAATAATACAGTCATTTAAGCTTTAATACCTTCCGTCATTTTCATCTGAGTCAGGAAATGTGTCACTTCCTGGTTCCATTTTTAATTGTTTAGGGGAAAGACAGCAGAAACTTGAGGTACAGTTTGCAGCACACATGATTTTCTCCCCCTTCAGACTTTTAAAGTCAGACTTGACTTTAAAAATAAGAGCAACCAAAATCTAAAGTTTCCACAGAAGTCCACTAAGTCCTGTTCTACCAATGACTTTGTGCTACTGTGTTTATGTGTCTAAGTATTATCATGCATGGGTGTAAACACTACTGACATCAGTGTTTTAAGCCTGTGGGTGATAACAAAGGCCCTGTGGTGAAGGTCATCAGATCATTTCTGCTGTCCTCCTACACACACCTGCAGCTCCTGCTGTTCTAGCGTGTGTGTGTGTGTGTGTGTGTGTGTGTGTGTGTGTGTGTGTGTGTGTGTGTGTGTTTCCCTTTACTCCTACACACACCCTGACACAGTTTGATATCAATGAGTAAAACAAAACCAGCCCTCTCATTCACCTCATCAGAGGCAATGAGGACAACATACATACTCATCCTGAAGTCTCACAAACAGGACAGAGTCATGTCCTGACCCCTTCCTCGTCCATAACAGTTATCCTCACTGTACGGACACACTTACTCTGAGATGTGGACGAAGATGTCGTTGCCCCCATCGGCTGGTGTGATGAAGCCATGGCCTTTGGAGCGGGAAAAGCATTTACACACACCAGAAAACACCGGACCCTCGGATGCACGAGCCGTCCTGCAGAGAGAGAGAGAGAGAGAGAGAGAGAGAGAGAGAGATGCAGACAGAGGGATGGAAGAAATGGTGAAGGGGTCGGAGACAGAAAAAAGGAAGTGATGAAGACTGCCAGTGTATATCAGTGTATGTCAGCACTTACTCAGGGGATTCTGTAAAAAGGCAGATTTTGATCGATTGGCAGAGGTCGATCGATTATTTGTTTAATGTACATTTTACACTGTATTTTCCGGATCTTAAGGGTCTACATGTATCCACTGTCTGCACCAGCTCGACATAGCCATTTGTTGATGATTTGATGTCACAAAACACAGAGCTGAAAAGCAGTCTGCAGTACACCACATAGAACACAATACTTTCACTTTTTTTTTTATTAGGGTAATAGTCACCATAAATGTGTGGATTTTGCTCAGTACTTGACATTCAACATGTGTGCATATGGAATTGTACTTGTAATGCTCCAACAGAGAGTTTCATGAACATGTGCATATGTGGGATTATAGTGTCTTGATCATTTGAACTTCTACCAGAAAGTTAGGAAATAAAAAGCCACCCTTTCTTAATTGCTAACATAGCTACTAATATTTCATTTGCTTTGCTGGTGTGTCGACCCCAGTGTTTACTCAGTGTGTGTGTGTGTTTGTGTGTGTCCTCACGCTGAGCAGGTTCTGTTTCTGCGTGTGGGCAGAGGGCTGGGGATGAGGTAGCCTCTCATCGGGGAGGGGGAGCGGTCTCTTTGCCTGTAGGCTGGAGGCTGCAGGGACTCTGATGGGACAAAACAGGGTGATATCATACGACGTAAGTTAGAGCTGCAGAGGGGAAACCATGAGGCATCACCAGTGTGCCACTCAGATGAAAAATTAGGACTGAAAAACTTTGCTCTCCAGGAACCCCCTGCCCTTCAGGAATTGTTAAAACAGAAAGATTATCAAAAAGTAAATCCTAATATGGTGTGCTCTCATATTTCTCCTGTAAAATAACATCCTTGTAAAAAAAAAAAAAAACTTCCTTATAAATACAAATCACTGCACAATTTAGCTCTGATAAAAGCATCAAAGAGAGAACAGAACTTGATTGGAAACAGTAGAGCTGCAGGTTTACAAGTTCAACATACGCTCATTATTCTGAATTTACATTATCTTAGGTTCTGATGCATGGATGCATCCGGGGAATCCGAGGGCAAGACATTTAATTCTTTTACTTTCCCAGATTTGGATGTTAAACTTAGAGATAAGTTATAGGTAATTCCAAATTGATCGGCAAAACAACATGTACAGGAACTTTTTATGGATAATTATCAACGTTGCACTACATAACAGGTAGACAGCCCTTGTTTTATGTGCAGTCGAGATACTACATAAAGTCACTTTTGGTTCTACTGGGACCAAAACTTCAGAGATGTGGAAAATGACTGGATCTGTAATTTGCTCCACCAGGGTTCCCCTTCTTCTAAGATGCAATAATTTGCCCCTGTTTGGGATGCTGGAAATAATCAGTCCTGCTGTTGCTCTGAGTTACCGCGGACTTTGGACAAACTTCCAAAACAACTAAGGAGGAACAAACTTTAACGTCATGAGCGATTATTACTAGCAAGCTATAAGTACTAGTCAATACCACGATGTTAAAAAGTCTCTCTCTCTCACTTTGATTTATGGACGCAGCTGCAGCTCTGTAAAGAGTTTGAAAATGTTTGAGCTTCAACTATGTAATAGAATTTGATTATTTCCTGTTCGAGGGCATCCCAGAAACAGAAGGAAGCTTAGTTAAAGCCTAAGAATCTGAAGCCATTGTAACCTGACTTTTGTTCTCTTTTATAATCTCAAGTAATTAACCTGATCCCTCCTGACAGCCAGGTAAGGTCTGTTTTCAGACAGACTTATTATTTCAACCCCAATGATGTTTAGACTGTGGATCCAAGTAATGCACTGACATTAATGTGCATTATTAATGCGTATAGTTCTCCTTTAAGACATTTTATGAAACAGTACTGTATGTTACTGTTACTTATTGCTCTGCTCCTACACCGCATCAGGCTCTCAACACTGTCAGAGTTCTTAAAAACAAATGGAAGTACCCAGGGAACGTGGGGATCCTGCAGATCTCAGCGGAGGGGTCACAGGTCGTGACCCCTGGATAGGTGTGGGCTGAGATGACATCATGGAGGGGGTGGAGTCAATTGCAAGGGAGGAAGGAGGGGAAGGATCACTGAAGAGAAGAAGCACAGCTGAGGATGTTTAAGACCTGCAGAGAGGAGGACAGAAAGAGAAATATGATCTTTTAAATGATCACAGGCACACACACACACACACAAACTGAGCACCCCCTAATTAAACTCCTGAATGAGTGACCTGTTGTGGGCATTCCCAGAACCCCAGTTACTATGGTAACACCGGTTTGAGAACAAAAACCCTGTGACTCTCTCCGACAGAGAGAGAGAGGGACAACAGTGGTCTCATTCACCTCAGCTCAGGAATAACAGAGTAAGACATCATCAGTCATTACATCACAGGGAAATTAGGGAAATGCAGAAAAGACTGTTTCTTATTTCTGTTGACTTCAACTATCTACTAATTCTACTAAATCAAAGGGAACTGTCGAGACAAAATTAGAAAGGGAATGAATAGGATTACCAAACATGTGATAAAAAGACACAATGACATCATCAGGAGGAGCAGGCAGCACGTGGACTCTCAACAATAATGGGGGATGGGGGGGGTGCAGGGGCAGATTACATTTTTATTTGATATTAAAAGCTCATTAAGCTGCATTAGGTGTCAACGTGGTCCTATTGTTGGTTAGTTGGCCAGAGCATTTAGTCTTTTAAAAAATAAGAATAGAAGAAGAAGTGACATTTTGGCAGATGGGATTTGACAAAATACTGCTCACCAAATTAATCAAAATGTATTCCGCCAAAACCTTTAAAACATGTCCTACAATCCTCTAAATATCACAATGTAAACATGTCACTGATAAATTGATAAAAGACATTAATACACATGCAAGTTGGCCAAGCGACATAGATTGGCAGGTGGCATGACGAAAATACACGTGACTGCCCGTTACACACAATCTCTGCTAAAACTGTAAATGGACGTTGAGTAGGTAACGTTCATGATTACAAATGTTAATATTACATTCTTCTTACGTTTTCACTGTGCACGCTAAAGTAAGTACGTTTCTATCCAGCGGCTTTTTTGCATCAAGGTTGCTGTAGTGGCCATTTGTCCAAAACAACAACAAAAAAAACTAAATAAACTAATATCAAAAATAATCAAATGACCACTGATGCACCATGGGGGATGTAATGTACGCAGGCAAAAGAAA